CTCTCTCTCTCTCTCTCACACACACACACACACACACACACACACACACACACACACACACACACACACACAAACACACACACACACACACACACGTGCACAACAACATCAACAAACAAACTACGGGCTGCGCACCCGTGCGTCTGCCCTGACAGGCTGCGAACATTTCAAAAATTGAACACGTACACTTTTCTCGAATAGCAGAGCACCTTGAATAGACCACGTACACGTTGTATTCAAATAGAATGTGTACCCTTTCTATCTGGATTTTGAAAAGAAGAAACTCTTGTATTCCAATAAAATTACTTCTTTTTTTGCTGGAGGTCAGCGCTTGCCCTTGTGCTCCCCGCCACTGACATGCTGCAGGTCTCTCTCTCTCTCTCTCACACACACACACACACACATTCTCTGTGGAGCGCCAGCTGCTGGAAACTGGGTCCAGCGTCCCATGAACATTGTGAATGAAGCACCAACCAAAAGCACCAACCGGGACCCCACACACACTCTTTCGCTTTGTGTATAGCGAACATGACAAAACATACATACAGCATAATCGCTACCTTACCCTTTTGAACCACATCAACAAAAACAAACTCCAGGCTGCGCATCCGTGCCCTCACGGTAAGTCAATGCTCATGCTGTTTTGCATGTGGGGCTAGAATGTGGCACTTGAGTTTCAAGTCTTGTGGAACGAACACAGCCTGGAGTTTGTTTTTGGGGAACACAGGAAAAAAGAGGAACACAGCCTGCGCTGACGCAGGGTTAGGACGCCATGGCATTACCGGTAGTCGGCCTGATCCCTATGGCTTGTTGGCGATCCGACGCCTGTTATGGCCAATTGGGGTTTGCACGGACGGATATGGACCGTCAGATTTCGCAAGCCGAAGCTGTTCGGCGACGCAAGCTGGAGGGAAGGAGCAGCATTCTTAGGCGTTTATCAGGGCCATTTGTCGGGCCATTGGAGTTCGAGGGAGACTTGTCTTCTCGGTTAACCTGCGCCGCCGTCGGCGTTTTCATTGTCTTTTCGCCCAGGCCGCCATTACCGTTCTCTTGTGGAGGCGCGGGACGTCCAGGGCGCGCTCACGGTGTGTCGAGGACGACTGCGGCGCCTCGCAGGAGCGTAGTAGCAGAGAGGCTGAGGTGGTTGTGAGGTCGTTGGCTGATTCACATTGACGATTCTTTGCTTGCTTCCTTGGTTCGGGTGATTGGAGGATTGACTTGCAGCTTGATTGACGGTCTTCTGATCGAACAGAAGGGGAGGGAGGGAGAAGCCGGTAGGTAGAGAAGATGGATAAGCACGACGGGAAGGAGGAGAGCGACAAGAACATTCAGATATGGAAGATCAAGAAGTTGATAAAAGGGTTGGAATCGGCCCGTGGCAACGGGACGAGCATGATTTCCTTGATCATGCCGCCCCGTGACCAGATTGTACGAGTAGCGAAGATGTTGGGTGACGAATTTGGCACGGCGTCGAACATCAAGAACAGAGTTAATAGGCAGTCTGTCCTGGGTGCAATTACGTCGGCGCAACAACGGCTTAAGCTGTACAATAAGGTACCGCCGAACGGGTTGGTTATATACACTGGAACGATTGTGACGGACGACGGGAAGGAGAAGAAGGTCACCATCGATTTTGAACCTTTCAAACCCATCAACGCGTCTCTTTATCTGTGTGACAATAAGTTTCACACGGAAGCGCTGAACGAGTTGTTGGAGTCCGATGACAAGTTTGGGTTCATTGTGATGGATGGTAATGGCGCACTTTTCGGCACGTTGAGCGGGAACACAAGGGAAGTGCTCCACAAATTCAATGTCGAGCTGCCGAAGAAGCACGGAAGAGGAGGGCAATCAGCGCTGCGTTTCGCCCGTTTGAGAATGGAAAAGAGACACAACTACGTCCGCAAAACGGCGGAGCTCGCTACTCAGTTCTTCATCAACCAAGCGACGAGTCAGGTCAGTATAAGGAGTCTCAGAAAGCAGCCTTAAACCTCTCCAGGACACGCGTTCTTGCGCGAACAGAGCAAAAGTGCTATCGCGCGCACGTGTCTGTGTATGTGTGTGTATGTGTGTGAGTGAGAGAGAGAGTGAGAGAGAGAGAGAGAGAGAGAGAGGGAGAGAGAGAGGAGCTACACAGCAAAAGCCTGAGCACTCATGCGCGCGCGTGTGTGTGTGTGTGTGTGAGAGAGAGAGAGAGAGAGAGAGAGAGAGAGAGAGAGAGAGNGTGTGTGTGTGTGAGAGAGAGAGAGAGAGAGAGAGAGAGAGAGAGAGAGAGAGAGAGAGAGAGAGAGAGAGAGAGAGAAAGAGAGAGATGATTTGATCAAGTTTGCCTTTGCATCTTCGCAGTAGAGGGAGAGATGGCAAGATTGGAACACCCTAGTTTTGGATTTCCTTGTTCCCCATGCACGCACTGACACATACATAATGTTCTATGGAATTGCCCGGTGAACCGCAACCAGAGTTAGAAGAGGAGAGAGAGAGAGAGAGAGAGAGAGAGAGAGAGAGAGAGAGAGAGAGAGAGAGAGAGAGAGAGAGAGAGCGAATGGTATCATGTTGGGTTTGCTATTTGTGCTTATTGCGGTGTTGTAGGTCTCTTACTCTTTGGAAGCGTTTTCTGCTAACGCTCTTAGTTGGCGTTGGGCGTGGCCGCTATGTGCGATGCTTTCGGTAGCGCCATGATGCGTTTCGTCTCTTGCGTGGTTAGTGGTGCTTTATTATTTTCTGTTTGTCGGTTATGTATGGGAGCGTGATCCACACGAAAAATTGGGTTCGCTTTGACGTGGATTCTCCAAGTCGCGCACTCTTGTTGCTTACGCCTTCCTGATCGCTTCGCTCCCATACGCTCTCCTTGATCTCTTTTTCTTTACCTCGGTACCTCGTTTCTACTGTTCTTGTTGATCATCCTCTCGTTAGCCCTCTATTATTGGGAGTGTTGTACATACCTATCGTTCATCTTGTCGTTTGTCGTCCTTGATGTTCTTTTCCGTAACGTATAGCCGTGTCTCGCTGCCATGTTCTCCACCTTGTGATTGTCTTTATACCCCTTTCTGTACCTCGTCGTGAGCCGTGTTTGGTTTTGTCCTCTGGATTGGATTTCTTTATTCCCTCCTGTTTCTCTTTGCCCTCCTCGGTGTTCGTTTGCAGCCTTCTCGCGCGGCCGAAATTTTTACTCCACATGTTTTTCCTTGCTTTACTTCTCTCTTTCCTGTGCTCTCGCGCTTCGTGAGTTTCTTTGTTCGTCTCCGTCTCTTGCATTGCAGTCTTCTCGCGCTGTCTGTTTTTTTTCTTTTTTTTCTTTTTCTTTTTTCGCGCTGTCTATTCTAACTCTCGCGCGCCCAAAATGTAGACCCCACACGTTTTCTTCCTGTATTTTTCTTTTCCTGTGTTCACGCGCTTCGTGAGTTTCTTTGTTGCTCTTCGTCTCTCATCTTGCAGCCTTCTCGCGCTCTCTAATTTCTCTCGTGCGCCCAAAATTTTGACTCTACACGTTTTCTCTCCCTGTACTTCTCCCTTTCCTCTGTTCTCGCGCTTCGTGAGTTTCTTTGTTGCTCTCCGTCTCTGACCTCTCCCGTTTTTTCTGTTTTTCGCTTCGTGTATTGAGTCCCGTAGTCTTTTTCTCCCTCTTCGCTTCGTGTATAGAATCCCGCACTCTTTTCTTTGTTGATCTTCCTATCTGGTCTGCACGTGAATACGTTCGCGTTCCGTGTTCCGCTCATCGCCTCCTAAGTTGACAAGGTACGTGTGGTTACCTGCGAAGGCTTGGTGATCGGTGAGCTCCCTGGTGAGACTGGAGAGCGGCCAGTTGAAATGCGTGGCGAACTGTGCGGGTTCTAGGACGAGGACACGTGGAGCATATTCGGTTGTTCATTGCTTCCCTTATTCGAATAGTAATAATGAATGCGTTTTTTTTTTGTTTTGTTCGGAATGAATGCGTTTTTGAGAGGTCAACGTATTGGCAGTGTTACTGTCGGCGTTGTACTGCTGTATCAACGGTATCCTTTTCTCCTCTTAAGGCGTTCTGCCTCCGGATGTGCGCCGTTCACGTATGGAGTGTGTCGTGATTTATATTTGCTTCGTTGCTTGTCTATCCTGCGTTTGTAGTCGCCAGACGGTCGAATGTTTGTACTACCTCTTATATTTGTTTTGATGAGCGCAAGTCTCAGAATGGACTTACGTCTGTGTAAGGAGTAATCAGAATATCTCATCTCTGACTGTGACAACCGTATTGTGCCGGACGATTTGGAGAAGTAACGTCTCTTGATCAGGGACTGGACTCTGCCTAGGGGTGTTCACCTGGTAGGGTGTATACTACCGTCCGTCTCTGAGGTGAATTAGGTAGAGTTGGATCTCCTTACCTGATTGATTTCCGGAGCATCAATCGCTGACGTACGGGTGTTCACCTGGTAGGGTGTACGCTGACGCCCTTCTCTGGGGTTAATTAGGTAGAGCTAGGCAGGGTGTTCATCTGGTAGGGTGTACGCTGACGCCCTTCTCTGGGGTTAATTAGGTAGAGCTAGGCGTTCTTATCTTATCTCGTGAGCATCAAAAAGCGATGACGTACGGGTGTTCACCTGGTAGGGTGAAGACTGCCGCCTTTGTCTGTGTGGCAAATTAGGTAGAGTTAGGCTTCCTTATCGGACGGATATCGGAGCATCAAGGGCTCTTTTTTTTTTCTTTTTTTTTTTTTGCGCAGGTAACACAAGGGGTGTTGTTCACCCCTCAGGGAAGCAATCAGAAGATTCACCGTGGTCTCGCTATCAGAAGATTCTCCATGACCAGGTCTCGCTCTCTGACGATTGTCGTTGAGGTGTCTTGCGGCCGGGTGTATCACGGTCCACGTACCATCTGGTCTCGCGTTAGATATACTGGACAGCTGATCAGCTCAAATATGCTCGACGGTTCGTCGCTTCGAAGTGCGCACCGCGGTCAGCTTCTATTCGGGGGAAGAGTGGCACTCGACTGTCGTCAAACCACAAGTGCACCTGTGGCTCGAGGGGCTGCACTGCGCGCCAAGCTTTTCCGAGTCCAGCAACGCACTTTTTTTCTTCTTTTGGTTGGCGCCGCCAGCTGTTGTTGTGGTCCGGAGGTGGACTTGTAGTATCCGGGAGGTGGAGTTGTGCTCGGGGCTGAATGGGCTGCACTGCGCGCCAAGCTTGCGCGCGAGTTGCCTCGAACCCGAAAGAGTCCGGAGGTGTCAACTCGCGATTTTCTGCAACGCGGGGGGATATTTGTCGTTTTTAGAAATCTTCTAGTAGAAATCTTCGAGTAGAAATCTTCTAGTAGCTCGAGGAAAACGGCAAGGAACAGAGTCGGGAACGGGGATCGAACGCAGGAAATTTATAGGATGGGTGTCCATGAATAGTCTCTGGGATTCTGTATTTTCGATCTATTGACTGTGTCCTTATTCCTAACACATGCGTCATTGGAACGCGGCATGTTTCGGTCAATGTGTCTTCTTTTCACAAAATCAGTACACGAGCCATGTTTCGTCGAGCACGTGTACTTCTGAAATCAGTACATTTATGTCTATAGGCCTGGTTGCGAGATGAGTTCATCTTCACCTAGAAAATTTCATAATCTCTATTGGGTCCTGACCTTTGTACTTGTGCAATTCTTTTTCATTCCGAGTGTGGCTACCCGAAGATCTTCATTTCCGTCTTCAGTAGTTGTTACGGTGTTTTTTTTCGTGTTGTTCCTCCGGTTCGATTAGCCATCTTTATTTCGAGTTGGAGGGCTCACTTCAGGTTCATTTTTTTTTCTGTTATCAGTGGGAAAGAAAAAAAAGAAACCTGTGACTAACAGTAGAACCTTCGTGTACATTCGGTGGCGACGTATGATAAGGAGCTGCACTTAATTTAAAGGAGCTGCACTTAATTTAAAGGAGCTGAAGTTAATTTAAAGGAGCTGCAGTCAATTTAAAGGAGCTGCAGTTAATTTAAAGGAGCTGCAGTTAATTTTCCATAGAAAACCTCGAGCGATGAGTTGAATTCTCATGAAAATTACCGCTCAATTGAGTGTTCAAAAAACTCTTTTCATAGCCAGTCAGAATTTTGACTAATTCGGTATTTTGAAAAATGGTCTTTTCTGTAAAGCACTGCCACGTCCTACCAAGGTAGCATGCTCTGTTGCCGTCTGGTCTTTTCGTCTGTGCGGGACTGCGGAGCGGAGGACAACCCTGCTGCGGTCTCTTGTCGGAGAAATGCTCTGCTTTTGTGACCGCCTTCACCCGAATAAAAACGCACGCTCGCAATAGCTGTACTTGGGGAAATGTCAGTCTAAATACGGACGTAATTATCGTGTTGGTTTATATGCCTTCAGTGAAACGTTGGTTCGTTTGTGGCCATCTTCCCCCTGAACACAACGCACCCTCGTTATGACGGTATCGNGTTGGTTCGTTTGTGGCCATCTTCCCCCTGAACACAACGCACCCTCGTTATGACGGTATCGGACCGGAAATTTGGTTTGTACATCTTCGCTGTAAGGCTGCTTTGTGTTCGTCTGAAGACGGTAGTTGCTTTATCAGGTCAGCCTTTCTTTGCCTAACCAACTACCGAATACTACGCGGCCTCATCAAACAGCGCGTAAAGCTTTGACTGTCACAGTAAATTGAGTATCTACACTGTTTGGGATTTTTCGCAAACTGTTTGGTAGATACCCACGCGTTACGCAACGGTTCGGCACTTTGTTCTCAACTGAGAAAACGACGTTCGGCTTGTGCGTACTCTTTCCACTCTTTGTTATGTTCGTGTGTGGTATGTCCGTTTGTTGAATTAACCAGCTTACTTGGCTTGGTCTGCTCGTCTTTGATACTCCCGTTTTCCCCCGAATAGAACGTACGGTCATTATGTCTGTATTTGGGGCAACTTTCAGTCTAAATACAGAGATAATGACCTGACGTTCTATGTCGAGGAAGATGGTCGTTCCATCTACTTGTGCTGCTTGTGAACTGTCCGCCCTTTTACAATGTTCTTCTGGTTCGTCCGTTCCTCATATCACAGTCGTTTGATCCGTCTCTGTGATATATCCGAATAGAACGCCCGGTGATTGTCTGTATCTAGACTGAAAGTTGCCCCGAATACAGCTATAATGACTGGGCTGTTCTGTTCAGGTGAAGACGCTAGATTGGTCCGTCTCTGTGATTCTGGTTTGGTCTGTTTCTGTCTGTTCGTTCGTTTAGGATGCTCTCTTGGGTTACTCGTCTCCATTTCTTTTTTTATTTCCTTTCGTTTAAAATACTCTCTTGTGATCCTCGTTTCCGTTTCTTTTTYTTTTTYTTYCCCCCCCCCCCCCCCCCCCTCTTGTTTCCKTTTCTTAYCGTTTGTGTTTGTCGTTTTGTTCAGCCGWATATTGCGGGGCTTATCTTGGCGGGGTCTGCAGATTTCAAGACGGAGCTTTCACAATCGGACATGTTTGATCCGCGGCTCGGGACAAAGATCCTTAACGTCGTCGATGTGTCCTATGGTGGTGAGAACGGGTTTAATCAAGCGATCGAGCTCTCTGCGGAGATACTGTCGAACGTGAAGTTTATTCAAGAGAAGAGGCTGATTGCAAAGTACTTCGAGGAAATCAGCCAGGACACCGGCAAGTACGTCTTCGGTGTGGATGACACTCTTAAGGCCCTGGAAATGGGAGCCGTTGAGACTCTTATTGTCTGGGAAAATCTGGAAATAAACCGGTACACTTTGAAGCATGCCGTGACCGGAGAGCTGATCATCAAGCACCTGGGTAAGGACCAAGAGGGAGTTCAGTCCCACTTCCGTGATCCTGAAACGGCTGCAGAGTTGGAGGTGCAGGAGAAGAAATCGCTATTGGAATGGTTTGCGGAAGAGTACAGACGATTTGGCTGTGCGCTGGAATTCGTCACAAACAGGTCACAAGAGGGGTCTCAATTTTGTAGGGGGTTTGGTGGAATTGGTGGCCTGCTGAGGTACCAGGTGGACATGAGGACCTTCGACGAATTTTCTGACAGAGAGGACGATGTCGAAGATAGTGATTGACACTCGAGGTGGACCTCCGGGTCGTCTTTCCGTGCCACCGGGTCGGGCGCCCTGATCTTGAAGATCAGACAATGCACGGTGACGGCTTCCATTATGATGACGGCGCCCCTCCCGTGGTACGCGGCCATCCTTGTGCACCCCGCTGAGGATGAACTGGCACAGCAGCAGGACCAGCTGCAAGCAGAGGTGAAGGAGAAAGAGGAGGAGGAGGAGGTAGAGGAACAGCAGGAGAAAGAGAGCTGTTTTGCGTATTGCTGTTGTGGTTTTGGCTCGTCGATGTTGTTATCCTTCCTCCATCTCCGTCCTTTGTCTTGTCGGGTCTGTGTGACAGCTCAGGGTGGGAATGAATACCGGGTGTGTCGTTGGATAAAAACAGCCTGTGGTAATGCGGACCCTGCACCGTCTGCAGCAGCAGCACTCTGTATGTGGTCGAATGAGTGGCAAGCATGGAGATTGACTGATGGAAGGGGTGGACGTCGTCGGTGCGAATGGATGGTACGATTGCTGCTGTTTCTTATGGGTTTCCCCCCCAAAAGGAATGCAGTTCATCCTGAGGCGTGCATGCTGGTGGCTGCTGAGCAGATCCATCTGGTGCTATGGGCGCGAAGACTTGTAAAGACTACTGCGGTAGTGGAAGGAGGAAGGCAGTCTCCCTTGCCCGAGGAACCTCTCGGTTCCCGCTGTGCTGGGGATGATTCTCCTGGTGCGATGTGTGGAAAGCGGAGGGCTGTGTGCCTCTGTGAAGAGCATACAACGAATGCTACCTCCACGGATTGCACACAAGGCAGAGGGCGGCGTGCCTCTGTGGACGGCACGCAAGGAACGCTATCTGCACGGATTGCACGCAAGGAATGCTTTGAAATGAAACTGAACTTACTTTCTCCAGAGCGACTGAAGGTGAGATATTCTGCTATACGTTTGTGTTGTTTGCTTGTCGACACCTGTTGTCTGTTGCACAGAGATTAGTGCAAGTAGTAGATTGTTGGGATGCAGGGAGAGTGTGTGCTGTTCAGTGTTCTGCACAAGCTCGATTTGTGGGGGTGATAGTGGGGTTGCCGATTGCCAGATTGTAGGTTGGTGTAGGTTGGGCACGTCGTCACGTGTGTGCTGGCTGGGCAAGGCAATGACGGACGATACAAATGCTGATACCGTGCTTCCGGAGGCTTTCGTGCGGGACATGAAGATTGAAGTAAACATCCAAAGCCAGAGGTGATACCATTCCCTGCTGTGAAATTCCGCTCATGAATGATCCTTGAGAGGGTGCCAGCTGAAGAGCAGGGAAACGTGTACGCTTGCGAGGATGAGGTAGCACAGAACGGATATACACATCTAGATGTGTATAAGAGACAGACGTGTACGCTTGCGAGGATGAGGTAGCACAGAATGGATACGCTTTGTGAGGATGAGGTAGCACGGCTCCAAAGTTGTAGCTGTGTTATTCGGTCGTTCTTATCATTAACGGGGTTCCTACGTAATGTAAGTGAAATGATTCGCGTGCACCTGGCAATTGCAGAGGGGTTGAAGGTCGAATGATGGCTTTGACGGACGTGTATGCGTAGTTAAGGTCCAGCATAGGTAGGTTTTAGACTGGTCCGGGAAGATACAGGCCGAGCGATTGCAGAGGGGGTTGAAGGTCGAGCGAGCGATTATGTCGTGTGTTGATGGTTCTTTTCCAAATGGGAAGGTCTGTCCAAAAGGTTGCAGGCTGGTCCGGGCGGATTCAGGCCTGCGCTGGATGTGGCCGTTGCGGCTGAAGATAGCTTGAGGCAGTTGACGGACAGAACATGCTCAGTTCTGCATTGAACCAGTGTGTGTACTACTATGCATGGCAGTAATCTCGCTTTGATCATTTCGTTTTCGTGTTCCTTTTCGTTGTTCTGGTAGGGATTGGTGTTTACGAATGAGAGAAGCCTTCTTGCTCCCCTTCCTCTGTCTGATGTGCAA